ACCAAATGTTATGTTCACTGTTACTGTAGTAGTAGTGACACTAAAGTACTTATTCCAGGCATTTTTCGACGTGCAACAAAGCACCTTAATCACCCCACACTGAACTCATATACAAAATTATGAAAGTGACATATTTGCAATCTCACGGTAAAGCTTACAAAAAATTCTTGTGTTTCTAACAAACTTGCAAAAAGTTCAAAAATAAAGTGACTTCAAAAACTCTGCATAAATACATAAATACACCAAAAATACACTGCTCAGTACAAATGCTAGATCTTGTGTAATTATTCAACTCCTTACCCCAAGATTTTAAACACTGACTTTTGATGAAAAGCCACTTCCTGTTTAGACATTATTGAAAGTGTCTTGACTTCAACAGTTTTTCCTTCACACCTCTTATTTCGCCACCATCGCTGATGTACGGTGTCATACTGGAGGTGAGCGTTTGGATGATTTTAGTAGCTAACTGGAAAACAGGAATTCAGTATAGGAACAGTATTCCAGTTCTAAAAACCATCAAGTCATATTGGCTAAAGGAAAGTCGTTTTCAGGTGAGCTGCAGTGACCCAGCGTGTGTGTGTGTGTGTGTGTGTGTGTGGACGTATTCGTATGTAGTAACTGTCACTTTCTTCAGGGTTGGAGAAATCTTGAGGTGTGGCAAAAGCTTAGCGGGCATTGCAGGTGTGTGTGTGTGTGTGTGTGCATGCTGAGAGTGTGTTGAGTGTACTGTGCAGTTTCGCCCGCAAACATTTGATCTTGATTCTAGACTTTGCGTGTGTGTCTGTGTGTAGCTGAGGAAACAGTAACAAGTGTAGCAGCAAAGTCTAGTTTTGACAGTTTTGATCAAGTCTTTTATTCCACACGCGTCGTTGTCATTGGTCTTAACTGGCAGCACCTTGCTTGTACTGGGAGCAAGGCAGGCGGTCATACAGTCAAACTGGGGAAAGTTAGAATGCCAGTAAAAAAATAAAACTAAAATCATTTAACAAAAATTGTTGAAGGGGGGAGTGGATGTCTGAGAAGCAGCTTGCCACTAATATGCTATCCCATTTGTGTCTGTGAATATTATCTGACGGCTGTGTGGAGAGCGTGAAGGGTCTAGATGGATTAACAGCACATTTACAGTGATAGGCGCTAAATAGAGGAAGCCAAACCTCAGAGATGGTAACCTGCTCAGAGAGAACTTCTCCCCTGACGACGGGAATTCAAAGCTGTGCCTTTTTGTCCTCGACCCGAGCCAAGCGCCATATTTTAGCTCTCCAAAAACCTGTTGCTACCCTTGCTGCAGATGCTGGAGATGGTTTGTCAAGGGTGGGGTGTTATTTTTGAGCCGATCATTTTTAGACGTTCCCTTTCCTTCGATGTTTTTTTGTTCTTCATCAGCCCCGGTTAACTGAAATCCTATTAGCGCTCTTGCCTGACTCACCCGAGCCTTATTAGGTAAATCAGGGCAAAGTGACGCTTCTTCCTTTGCATCTGTCATTTGCATACACGCTGTACACTTCACCAAGTGCACATTCAGTTGTTTTTTTTTGAACATCTCTCAAAACTGGCGTTGTTGCTGTAAACACCCTGTAAAGGTTTTTCCGGTATTCATACATACGTATCTGCATTCGCATGTACATTTTTATAATGTCTCTATGTTCGCGCTGCATGTGTGTCTTCACACATGCAGGAAGCCAGCTTTGTATTTGAGGTTAGGCAGCCATTTTTGATCATATTACAATAACGTATTCATCTCTGTGATGAAGTCAAGTTTGCAGGGGTCGGTGTAGCTGCGGAGTGTGTTTGTTTCAGGTCAGCTCACTGGCTTTATTCTCTCTATTGTTTATTACTGGAGGAATACAGTCTACTGTACGTGGCCGTTCATTTCAGTAGCGGAGGACAGATGGCTGGAGCCTGCAGGCCACACACACACACACACACGCACACACACGCATGCACACACCAAAATGATACAACACACGATGCATGCAGAAGAAACATGCGACACGCACACACTTGCAGAGGGCGCGGTGCAGCCGGTTTGTGGAGATGTGGGTTACACCTGCTCACACACGCACATGCTTCCTGTAGCCGTAGCAACAAAATAAAATTTTTTACACTTGGTTTGTGATGAGAATGACTAAGATGTGTACAGGAAAGATTGCAATTTATTGTTAAGTCAAGTCAATTATATTTATAGCTAGAGCCCAGTATCACACATCACAGTTTGCCTCAGGGGGCTTTACAATCAGCACACAACCCCCTCTGTCCTAAGACCCTCGATTCAGATGAGGAACCCCCCCCCCCAAAAAAAAAACATTTTATTATTCATTAGATTTTAATTTTCTTTAATATTCTTATCACTAAGTAAATTACTGTATCATTTATTTTAATGTTTGTGATTTGTAGATGGCTAACACACCAGAGTTAATTTATCTGTCATGTTGACACCCCAATTCTTTACATACTGTAGATTTAGAGTTTGTATGTAAATGCATGTAGGTGTTTATGTGCACGTGTAAATATATAATTGTTTTGATGTATCTTTTTTTAAATCAATATTTTAATTGTGTAATAGTTGCACATATCACTATTTTTATTGCTGTTACTAAGTAATAATTGTCTATTACATACAACAATGGTTCCCAAACCAGGGTTTGGAATCCTCCATGGGGTGCCATGATACATCTGAGGGGTCACAAGATGATAAAAAAAAAGAAAGATGATAGGAAATCATTTATACATTTTTTATGTTTTTTTTTAAATAAATAGATGTTTACATTTTTATTCCCTTTCTTTCAATGGGAATAATCCCAAGTAGACGTAGCTTCAGTTTAAGAGTCACAAGCCAACAAGTTCAGGAACCACCGACATTATATGCTTGGAATGCATAGAATGGTTCATATACGTGTCTCCAGGGTGAAAAGCAGCGGGTTTAACAGTGTTGTATTTAAAAGCAGACCTAAAGCAGGTATACATTGAGGTGGGCTGCTCCATCTGGAGCCCTCAACTGCTTTTGACATCCCAAATCTGTTTGCTTTTCTAATGTGGAGGCTGAGACAAATGGCCAACCTGCTGCTAATCCATCATCTTGTATTAGAGAGAGAGAGAGAGAGAGAGAGAGAGAGATGATGATATTGATGATGACGACGACAATTTCTCTGTTTTTCTGTTTACCTCTGGGGTCACTTCTTTTCTCCCTCCTTCTGCAGACCTCCTCACTCCTTCACTTTGGTTCTTTGAAGTGATAATCTAAACCCATCCCTCATTATAGTCTGTTTGTAAAAGCTTTTACATTTATTATTCTACCACTCATCAACTGTCTGACTGCTCTTTCCCAGCAAACATTCTCCGCTGCACAGGAAGCAAGGCGTAGTACCTTTATGACAGCAGCATTTGGTCCAACATTATTCATAGTGGGAATACTTTTTTCACCAACGCTGTATAAATATTTGCTTGGAATTTTTACCAGTCTCACTCAAATCAACTTCACAATGTATAACTTACATGTACTGAGACTGTATTTATTTTCAACCCATCCCTATACAAATATACATATGGGATGAAATGCCATTTCCCAGGAGCCTATGGTACAGCAGTTAAACAAGTAGGTACGAAACAGTGCAAGATATAAAACGTAATAAACTGAACAAATCTGTCCATAATAGTGCAAGACACAAAGAATGTAGTGCAAAAACAATATTGATATGTTGACAGGACAGTAAGACAAAGACACTGTGTCATGGTGCTGTCACCCAACACACAGTTGTTTTTGCTAATGAATTAGCATGTAGCTCTAACAATTTAGTGGTTCCAAATTTTTTGGCGTGATTTCTGTTACATAAAAGTTTTCTTTTTTTTCCTTTATTGATAAACTTGATTATTCAAATAAAGCACATTTTCACTCTTTGGCTGAACTGGCATGTTCAACCTGTGACAAGAGGTTCTCAGTGGGCATTGCTTTGTTGGTGGTTGGGTTTTTTCACATTTAGCTTTGGAAGCAACATGATGTCATACAGTTTTCCAGGTGAAATGAACCGCAAAGGCAGCTATTTCAGTGTGTTGCTGAAGGGCTCAGGTCAGTGTAGTCTCCCTCTCATACTTTTGGCCACCTAAGGAATTCAAACCTTTTTTAAAAACCATCAACAACTAAACAATGTGAGATTAAATACAAGTCAAGTTTTCAAATGCCCAGGTGTCAAATCATCTGACATGTAGGGATGAGTATCAGTAGGATTTATCAGTACTACTTTGGTTCCTTATCGATACTCTTATCTGTTCTTTTTCTCATTACTAAATAATTGCTTTTAAAAAAATATATATTTTAAAAAATAGGTTAGAAGTGAATGTTTTTAAATCTAACTTAATGTTCTTTCTAGAGGAGCAACAACACAATAATATCTCAGTGGAAACAAATCCAAAATGTAAGTAAAATAAAACATACACCTGACATCAACATTCTGAGTGAAGCTGAGAGAAAGAATGAAAAACTGACAGATCAGTCAGCATCAGCTCCTGGCCTCCTCCCTCTGCTGCTGTGATGCCTACGGGTAATGTTAACTGGTAGAGAGAGGAGTGGCTGGTGGCAGCCAGCAGCTAAGTTTACAAGAATTTGCCAGATTTTAAGATACATGGCAAACTTAGCTAAACAGTTAGACTACAGACAGACAGCTTTAATTTCAGCTTGTTTGCAACAACAGTGCAGGTTAAAATATCGCTTTCTAGATATTTATGTTGAACTGGTTCATTGATGAAGTACTGGCTTTTTACTCGCAAAGGTTTAATTGCACTTATAGTACAGAGAGATCTTGACTTCACCTGGTTCACTTCACTCTGTGTGTGTGTGTGTGGAGGAGCTCAGCCCCGACACAGAGAGAAGAGCTTGCAGCGTGATAATACATCACAACAAAACATACCATTACAGATAAAGAATTTTAAGAGTTTAGCCCCGGGGCCAACTTAATTTTCGGTACCAACCCCTCCTGACATGTCTTTTCTGTTTTTCTTTTGGACAGCAGAGGTTGAGCATCCAGATGGCGGCCTGCTCTCCGACTCCCTACCCCCCCACCCTCTCGGCCTGCCGCCCCACCCGTTGGACCCTAGTCTGGCCCACACCCTGCCACCCGGCCTCCACGCCGACCATGACCTGTTGACCTGCGGCCAGTGTCAGATGACTCTCCCGCTGGGTGACATCCTCCTCTTCATTGAGCACAAGAAGAAGCAGTGCCAAACGCCGCTGCTGGCCAATGGCTGCTACGACAAGATGACCGACCGGGGAGGCGGAGGAGGGAGTCCGACTCTGCAGAGCCTTCATCTCCCCACGCAGCGGGGAGAACTGAGGAAAGTGGTGGAGCCGGTGGAGATCGGCATCCAGGTGACACCAGAGGAGGAGGAGGTGGGAGGAGGTGAGCGGGGAGGGAGGACGCCCATCAAAGGAATTTGCCCCAAACAGGAGAACACACCGGCAGGTAGGCATGATGAACACGCGCACACACACACACACACACACACACACACTTCAAAGAAATAACATTTTGGGAACTACACTTACTTGTCATCTTTCCAAGAGTTAGATGAGAGGATTGATACAAATCTCATGCCTGTCCGTAAGGAATATGGCTTAGCAAATAAACTGGAGGCAGAAACAGTTAGCTTCACTCTGTCCAAGTTCAGAAATACACCTAGCAACACATCTAAAGTTGTCTTATTAAGTTGGATCTTGTTACATGAACAGAAATGTGAAAAGGAAAATGGGTTTCAGGGGAAGTTTATCCACTCGGCCCGTAATCATGAGCTAACGGATTAGGCTAACAATTATTGTGAAAAAGAAGGTGAAATATTATAGAAGAGAAGCACAAAAGTTTGTATACCACCACAGAGAGTTCTGCAATGGAAATGCTTGGGGCAAGCAAAGCAGTGCCTTGTTTTACTGCAATAATCTGAAAACATCCTAAGTGTTCCAATCTGACGTCTTAAAATGTTAAAGGTGTGTTTACTCAAGAGGGAGTGGCCAGTTTCCCTCTGATTTTAGGAAGTTTAGTGTGGCCACATCTTGTTTCATTTGTGATATTTTTATGCAATATTACAGCACTGACCTTTATTCCCTGTACTTTTGTGCAACATTGCCAGATATAGTGTAGTTTGCCAGGCACACTAGACCAGATTTTGCAGCCTCTCTGTGATGATTAGACTTCAGGATGTTTCGCACAGTCACTGAACACGCCTGTTATTTACCAAAGAAATAGTTTCAGCTAAACTCCGCCCATAACCACAAGTTGTAGTTTTTACATTTCTCTTTGCGTCAATCAGTGAGCTTAGGAGGTGTGGCCAGGCTTACTTTATCTTCTTCTTTTAGGTGAGAGCCAGGCTAGCTGTTCCCCTCTGCTTCCAGTCTTTCTGCTTAGTTAAGCTAGCCACATCTCGTCTCCACATCCATAGTTTCACTTTCAGAAAAAAGCCAATAAGTACATTTCCCGCTGTTGGGGACAGTTTTTGACCACATATGCAACTGCACGTACACAAACATAAATGTACCTTTTCAGCTTTTGTGAAGGCATTTTGTTAAACTAAGCCCATCCTCTCCAGCAAGAGAGAGAGAGAGAGATGTTCATTTCATTAAAGGGAGAGGGCAACAGATAGAGGGAGGAAAAAGAAAGCGGGGTGAGACAGGCACATTACCCACTCAAAGCCCTAAACCCCCTCAAGGACTCGGCTAGTTGAAACAAACTGTGCAAAACGTGACAGAGAGACTCACCCCGACTTTCATGGAGAAATCCAGCCTAAGCCATCTGCTTAAAAAGGTGAAAAGCTCATTAAAATTCAAACAAGCAAAGAAGGGAGAAAAAAACACGATGAGAGGAGAAGGAGGGGAAAAAAAGACAGAGAAAGAGGGATTATAAAGAGGCTAGTTTCTCCCCCATTCAGAGGGGTAAAGAAGCAGTTTAGCAGGAGAGCAGCTGCAGGGTTTGTGTGTGTGTGTGTGTGTGTGTGTGTGTGTGTGGGGGGGGGGGGGTTATCTCTCAAACCAGTCAAGACGCTCAAAGAAAGCCAGAGGGGAAGAGCAGAATATTCCAGTCTGCGACAAGAACTCCTCTCAGCTGTCCTGCGTCCTACAGGTCACTGTTTGTAGAACTAGAACTCAGCTCAGGGCTGGGGGGAAGGTGCTCACCAACAACCAGCAGGTCCAAATATCCACAGCTGAATAAGAACTGCTCAAAGATGATGGCATATAGAGAACTTAACATGACAGCTTAAATGAAATAAAAATACACAAAACACTAATAAACCAAGTTTCAGTGCAGTTACAGTGCAAATTGAGTAAACAGCCACAAATGTTAGACAGAAATAGGAATGTTTTGCTTTTGCTTTGGTGCAGGCTTCATTTTGTGCATTTTGTTCCAGATATGTGATCTGTGTTCTATTTTAACCCTCTGAACCAATAATTAGAGCAGTCCCAGGTGACTCGACAGAAGTGTTTCATGAATTCTAATACAAGTAGACTAGTATTTTACAGTCAGTGTTTTGATACACAGATATCCAGTGGCTCATGAATCCTACTGAATCCTATAAGCGCTGGTGATAAAGAATTTAAGTCCTACATGATGTGACACGACCTGTCTCCAAGTGCAGGGCATCAATACATTTATTAATACAAAAGAAATCACAATTTGCATTTCGTCTGCAAACATATGCATGAAATATCTTCAGCATTACAGCTCGGCCAGTACCGATCAATACGCTAATCAGGGCTATTTGTCTGCTGGAAGTGTTTTCTCTGGAAGCCGGTTTATTTCCATTCTTGGGATAGAAACACTCCTGGTTTGCTCTATTGGCAGCACTATTTCAAGAAAGAATTTGGACAGACAGTTAAAGTCATCAGCAGCACCAGAGTAAGCTTAGAGGAAAATGTTGGCCCAAAGCCACGTGAGCGATGCACTCACAGGTAACACTCCTGACTCTTTTAGCACAACAGAGCTCCTCTGAACGTGTCAGTCTGCGGTTTGGCCTGCGCTGGAAAACCCTGTGTTTGGGCCTGAACCTCATCAATATTTTACCAGGCTGTTACAACTCTGCTAAGTAAGCCGCACAGCGCTGCTGTAAACAGTGCAGCCACCTGAACCTCTGAAAGCACGGCACTTAGGTCAGTAACATTTAACACATAACAATCTGAGCAGTAGGAAGGGGCAAATAGCTCTGATGCAATCCCACAGTGTGTGCGGAGCTGCATTAGAGTGTGTGCGCTAATTGATTGACGTTGGGCACATTATTAGGTTGGCATTATTCATATTTATGTGCATAAGTATATTTTTCCCCCTGCGTTTAAATGCTTGCAATATATCTAACTATAGTCCTCCTGTGAAATCAACTCCACATGTGCAGCGTTGGAAGGCTGGAAATTGTAATTGCACAATATGTCTTCATAACACATCGTGCAATAATTTTCACATTAAAAGCAAAAACATATTAGCGGCTCAATTGGACGTGCACTGCGGCAACTGTAAACTATATTGCTGCAATAACATTTTATGTTTCAAAATTACCCTCTGTATTTCACAATTTCCACGTGAAATATGTCCAACTAGCACCTTATTAACACGAGGAGAGGACAGAGGGGTTTATTAATCGAGCTGAAGTTTAATTTGGAGAGAACACGCACAGCCCTGCTCATAATCACCGGGGGATTGAAATATGGCAGGTGGAATTTTCTCTTTGCAACTCAGAGCGAGCTTTTCCTCCAGTAGATTTTTACACCTTTCATTACCTGGTGAAAGGGGGAAAAAAAGGGTGAGAGACATAGGTGAGGCGGGAAGAGAGCAGGGAGGGAGAGCGAGGGGAAAAGTGATCAGGGAGTTTGAATGTCGGCTCAGAACACGACTGATGAAGATGCTTCGTAATAGGCTCCCAGCAGGTCAAACGACTCCTTTATTCTCAAGCCTTTTCTCTTCCATTTGTTCTCCATGTGAACCCCCCCCCCCCACACACACACACACACTCATTCACATTTTAAGAAAGGAGTCATTTTGATTTAGAGGAAATCAGACCGAATATTTCAGATTTGTGTAAAAGCATCAATATCAGTACACTTGTATACATGTTTTAATATTATTTAAATAAGTAATTTGAAACTATAGTTGTAAGAGAACTGAAGACAGTGTGTTTTTTTCACGTTTCTATTGTCTGGACTTGTAGCAACATATTCTCAACTGCAATTGTTAGGCACTATAGACCTTTTTTCTTTCTTCTGTTAAAAGAGCAAGATTAATATATATATATATATATATACTTCTAATACCCACCTTCTGGACATTAATGATCTGTGTGTTTGTAAGTATGTAAATAACAACGGGAGGGAACAAAACATGGGGAATATCTGAAAGCACCATCTTATGACACAAGCACACACTCCCTTTAGGCTAATCGTAGCCCCCCCACCCGCAGAAGCTTTGATCTCACAAATCCATATCTGTAGCAAAGAGTTAGCAAAAAGCCTCCTCCACCTGGACATCCATTCAGCCCCCACTAGCGCAGATGTTATCATCCTCCACTTGCCACATTTAGTTCATGTTAAGCAGAAGTCAGTTCATCCCTTTCAGTTGTCTAAACCCTGTGTTTCTACTCTGGGTTGTAGCTTGAGTCTGCCCAGTTAAAGCCTACTATTATAGCTTGCTGTTAGCTAATATTGCATACATGTGTAGGCCTACTAATAAGCTTGTTAGATTTTCTTGTATGCTAACTAAGTTAACAACGTGTAGGCTAATTGTTAGCTGGTATGGGGAGGTTAGCCCAACATATTGATGTTATCGAAACACCAGTCGCTGAATTACTGGGGAAATCACTGCAGATAAAACACTACAGACTGCTAAGCCAGAGTTTATAGGCTAATTGTGAAGTGGTGACGATGTCAGAGCTGTCAGCGCTAAATCTAGCAATATTAAACATTACATCGAACATACATGTAAATCTAGCGGGAGGACAGTGGATTCTAGTCAGTGCTAGAAAGTCTGGTCCAGAGCAGAATGTAGCTAACTGTCAAGGATTTTAGATACCAGAGCTTGATGTTCTTTTCCAGCAAAAGTGTTAAACATTCACACAGAAACAACACGCTCACATTAACCAGGTCAACCACAGCTAACAGGGTCAAGTTCCCCTTGCTCTGGTGCACCTTGTCTCTGGGTCTGGGGATTTGAACAGGCAACCTTCTGGTCCTACACCCTCCAGACGCCCAGGTGACTGTCAGTCAGGTTAGCGAGAAACTCCACGGAGGTGGAATCCTGACAGTTTGGATTAGAGAAAAGAGAAGGAAACGTGTCATTTTTACTTTAAGGCACACACAAACATCCATGTAGCGCACGCGTATCACTGAGGAGTCTTTAACACCACCTGACACAGCGCTGAGCAGCCCTGAAAGCCTTGTCAACTAGGGTTTAATTCAGACATTTAATAAGTCCAGTTGGAGTGGAGAGGAACA